GGATACGAACGGTAATATTCTGACAATATATAATTATTACACGAATTTTTAGAGTACGCCTGTATTAGTAGTACTGTATACATGCAAAGTAAATTACATCATGTTTCATATACAAACTCTTCAGTTTCTAAAGTCTGGCTTTTGTTATTGAAATTTACAACATTATTATTATTCTGTGACGATAAAAAAATATTTTACCTAATCCGCCATGTTAAACTTCCCTATCCCAAGCGTGATGTATACAACTTCTTTGCTTCACGAGTGAAGTAGAGTTTCAAAAACTCACTCGGTGAGGTAATGAAACCCGGTTAAATAACATTGAGTGCTCAACTTAAAAAAATATACCTCTATGGAGCCAACGACGTTTAACGCTAGAAATCAGCTGTGCTCTTGAATGTTATTGTTATGCTTTAAAGAATTATCCTAACCTAGCTTTTGTTTGTAAAAGAACGTTAATGTAGAACATGAGTGAAATAGATAATGAAAAATATTGTACGTAACCCCCTGTATATTGTCGGGTCTGGTAAAATCTTGTACGTTACACGTTACGCAAGAGCGTGTTTACATCACTTAGGTGATTATGCAACTCGCTTCTGCTCGTTGCACAACATTCACCTGCGTGATGTAAAAACGCTCTGTAAGGTATATAGCTATTACATATTTTTATACATTTTGGTTTGTACTTTATAGTGTAAAGAAGTTGATAAGATTCTTGTCTTTGCCGACGGGATATTACACTTAAAACAATATATATATACTGTTTTATGGTTTTAAAAGTATTTCATCTAGATACTAACAATCCTAATACAAGTAGTTTCTTGATTTATGAGACCTTAGACATTTTTAGCATATAAGTTAATTTTCCAAGGAAAATCCATACTGTCCCAACATACAATATAAGAAAACAAGGTTAAGCCCCAGGGGTACTTATATGAGATTTATAACAGTACTCCACTTTTATAGTACCTCTGTTTATCTTACATATATAAAATCTCTAGCCTTTAGCTATGCACAACGAATTTAAAGCTGATAAAATATTGCAGCTTGAACAAAATGTTTTACACATTAAATACAGAACAAGCCTTTAACTGCAAGGATTTTGTGGAGGTTTGAGCCTTAAAACACCACAACCTAGCTTACGATGTCATAGTTTTGCTAAATAAAATAAATTGATTCAGCATGATGCCGAGAGCCCGTTTTTTGCATTACTTGTGTTTATTTTCATAAGCATATTTTCTGTTGGTAATCTTTTTTGGCTTAGCATGCACATGTTTTTCGTATGAATATACTCAAAAGTTGTTGTCTTAATGTGTAGTATAATTTTCAATACTGAATTAAAACCTTTTTTGTAAATCTACCCTGATTTATTATAAACCCTTAACTAAATAATATCTCCTGGTTTGTGCTGTGACCTTAAGTCACACAAACAGGCACGTTACGGTGAATAGCACTAAGTTATATCAGGGGTGATTGTAGTGAAAAATAGTACAGACCTTTTTTTTTTAACTAGAAATTTTTGGTTCAGTCAAAGACGATATCCATATGCTACCGTGTTCAGAATTTAAACTTGAACTATCTCGGTTAGTTTTTAGGAGTTTTCTGCATTTAAAATTTCTTACGAAAATAGAGCATGAAGAGATTATTTTTGTGTTAAAATTATTGTGATTAATGTTTCTTTAGCCGACATATGTCTACAATTGCCTTGGAAAAAGTAACAATGATGAACCTTTGTTTTTTAAATTGACTGTGCATAAGTACAAGGCAACAAAGCTTGAAGTAATACATTCTGCATGCATATGGTGTCAAAATGTAATTTTTCTTTTAAATTATATGTTATATGATTTTTTTATTGATAAACATTAAAATTGCAAATAAATGAAAAAGTATAGAACAAAAAGGTTTAATTGAACTTTACTTTAAACACAGCTTGCATTTGAATGGTAATTAAAATTCATGACACACTAATACATATTAATGTTCGCCACGCAGATGGCAATGTTAAACCTGTGACGTTTAAAATCAGTTAAAAAATCTGTTCCTTACAAGGTCTTTCGAAAGAAATTTAACAAAGACTTGGTTTAACTACTGAGTGTTGTGAGAGCTCCAAATATACATGCTTTCTTTGACCAAAAACCATTTATACAGTATATGTTTTTATTTATGCGGTGTATACTTTTGTATCTTATTATTTTGATCTACAATGGGGGTAAGTCTACAAATTATTCATATTTCATTGAGACATGAACTAACCGATTCTACAAATGTTTTTCATAGGTTAAGTTTTGGTTGTTTAAGATGTTTTTTATAAATATATTACCTAATCATATTTTTTATAAAAAAAACACAATTCGGTTGGAATTATATACATAAATTAATCTATTAAAAATTGTACTCATACTGAAATTGTAGTTCCTGCTAACACGTGATTGAAAACGATGGTTGATATATAGGTTATAAATTCCAACAATTTGGATAAGCGAAGCTGAAGTACTATAAATCAAGGCTCATGTGTATATTTACTGCTGACAGCTTGTCATGGCAAGTGAAAAAAGCTTATTGATAGTTTTACTTTAAAATCCTCTTATAAAGAATTCAAACAAATTATTCATCAACAAAATGAAATTTGTATTTACAAATTGAATACCGTACTTAATAACAGTAAAAGTATAGACTGTAGATAATTAAAAAAGGTTGACTTACATTAATTATTGAAGCAAAATATTTCTACTTTCGTATTTTAAATACAATTCTACTTTGTTCAAAATATCATTTTAAAACGTTATATACAAATCAAACTGCAAAAGCTATTCATCTGTATATGGTCATTTATAGCAAGACTATTTTGGGACGAATTAAAAAGTGCTAGGAAAAATATTAAATAAAAGACATTTAAAATTTCGCTGTTGAAAATGTATTAAATATAGTTACAGTGCTTTAAGAAAACAATAAATCATCTCATTTCGTAATGGAGTAAATACAGACGTCGCTTAAACAAAGTTCTCCGTTATAAAGTCTCAAGAATTTATTACCCTGTTGGCGGAAAGGGGATAGCTTAATGTTTAATACGAGCTGGACAAATTACATTGGATACTTTCATTGCGTTCGAGGAAAATTATGGAAATGATGGCGTATAACCTTGGTACTTAAAAACTCCATCAAGTAAATACATTTTATACGTTCTAGCACTGTGTTACTGCTTTTATTTTAATCAAATTTTCAATTTATAAAGATTTTTTACAAAACAAAACTAATGTTTTACATGCAATAAAGGTCCTGATAAAGGTTTATGGTTTGTAACTGACCAGCTGTCTCTGATAATTGGACTTTAAAAAATGACCCTGACTTATGAAACAGCTGATCTTAGTCAGTAAGAAAGCTGCACAGATCATCTCACAACATTTTACCATGCATTACTCCTTCACTTACATTTGGGTTTAAATACGCCCTATTGACCTATACAGGGTGATCAACTCAAGGAGGCCACCATTGGGATATCGGAAACGGTAAGAATTAGAGAAAAATGTAAATGGGGGACATTCCTTTATTTTTTATGGCAATTAAACATATGAATTTAGTTTTTTTAATTCAGCCGCCAGTTTCCAATATGGTGACCAACCTTGAAATGTCTTATAGAACACCCTATATTTTATAATGTTTTCGGATAAAACATGCAATTTAAAAACTTTTTTATTCTTGACATTTTGTAAGAACAAATGAATTAAAAAATATATATATTTTCCAACAGTTTGAAAGACATTTTTATACCAAATGAGTTTTTTAAATCGGCAAAATGCACCGAGAATTTGTGGTATTTTAATATCTATCTAGCAGTGAAAAATCTGCTTTAAAAGATGCTGAAAAACTTTGTCTCTACCTTAGAATCCACTAAATAAATAGAATAGAGTTTACCTATAATAGATTCCATGAGGTTAGAATAAAAATACAGAAACTAATTGCGGAACATTTGTTTTATCAAAAGGGGTAATAAATTAGAGTGACAGGTAACTACGAGTGAACTTTTAAATAAAAAACTACCTTGATATTTGAAAAGGTTTCATAGATTACCTGCCAACAAGAACATATGACAGCTGTATTCACAGAATGAACCCATTAGTAAGAACGTACGTGTCAGAGGTACAACATCAATACGTATCAGATTTACTTCAGATGTTTGCCACTCTAGTTTCCTTATTCCATAAAATATCTTCAGAACTACTGTCAATCACCATCATGCAGTTTAAAGGTCTAACATTTAAAATGCCATACGTATTTTGGAAAAGCTATAATTCAACCTATTAGATTATTGTATTAGATTATTGTAGATTACGAATATTTCTTTTTTAATTCCCAACTTTTTTCCATGGATAAAAAATACGATAATTGATTTAACAGAAATACGATATCGTTATGATTTTGAGCACACATTTCATCTATTATATTTGAAAAACGCACGTGAGCTAGCCATAGTGTATGATATCTTGCTCTCAAAGCATGTGCTGTTTTGATCAAGAAGCTGCTGAATCGAAGGTTGAAACTGTTATATATAGTCATCCGTTATGTCTTGTGAGTAAACGGTATAAGTTTAATATATTTAATACAATTGTCATTTGACGTATATTATACTTTCAGGTAATTTAATAACACGTACTGTTAGAACTCGTGTGAAATAAAGAACTTTTACAAAATATTAACTAATAAAGAACTGATTTTATTCTGATACATACAAATATTTCATAACATTTTTCTTTTAACTAAATTGTTATGTTCTTGCACTTTCTTCAATTCTTAACACAACACTTCTCAATTGTTTAAAATAAATTAAAATAAACCATCTGTTCATAAAAACAAAGACTAATAAATTAATATATTTGATGTTGATTAATATTGAAATTTGTATTATATAAAAAACAATTTAATTTCCAACATCCTCCCCACCTTGGAATTTTGCTTTACGTCATCAAAATTTCAAACAAAACTATTTACATGTTTCTTTTATATTTTCACAAGTCCATTTTCCTAGGGATTTTTATCTTTCTCCCTCTTCTTGTTTCTGTTGGTGTTGATGACTTATCTTCCACTTCAATATGTGCATCCTGTTTCCTTGACATGTCTTTTGAATTTATTTCCATGGGGTAAAGTCTCTGGATGGGTCTTGTTAGTTCTCCTTTTGCTGTTTTTAACTTGGCTACTCTGCAGACTCCATCCTTTCCTCGTATTGTCTCCAACACTAGTGCTAGTGGCCAATTTATTCTTTTGATATTATCGTCACCTATTAGTACAATATCACCAGTACTTATTGTCTTCCTTCCTTTACCACTGTTTTCTTTAGATCTATGTACTAGCATCGCAAGGTATTCTTTCTTAAATCTTGATCTCAAATTTTGTCTTAAGCTTTGAAGATACCTCACTCGCTTGTTTAGAGTGGTTGAGTCGACAATGTCCAAATCATGAACGTCACTCTTAACAATTGGTTGTAGAAATACTGAAGGTGTGAGAGGTTGTAGAGTGTCATAGTCATCACTCATATAGGTCAAAGGCCTTGAGTTGATGGTAGATTCTAAATCACATAAAAGAGTCATTAATTCTTCATAATCTACTTTTGCCAATCTTAGATTTCTCCTCAACAGTTCCTTGACCATTCTCACTAGTCGTTCCCACATACCTCCCCACCATGGGGCACTTGGAGGATTGAATTTCCAAGTTATTTGTTGGATCTCGAATTTCCGAGAAATGGTTTTCCAATCCAACCGCTTAAGGATATTATTTGTACCGACAAAATTGGTCCCATTGTCTGTGTAAATTAGTGAAATTCGTCCTCTTCTGGATATAAATCGTCGTAAAGCAGATATGAAGGATTCCGTTGAAAGAGACTGTACCAGCTCTAAGTGCACAGCTCTGTACACAGCACATGTGAATAAAACCACCCATGCTCTTTCTCCATTTCTTAGGTACAGTGGTCCTGCCAAATCAATGCCTGTAGACTGGAAAGCGTTGCATTCCGTGATCCGTTCTAAGGGAAGTGGAGCAACTGGTGCTTCTCCTGCTTTAGACTTGAATCTCTTGCATTTAGCACAGTGAGATAAAACATTGCGAATGGTTTTTCTACCCTTTAGAATCCAAAACCTATCTCTGACTATAACTAACATTGATTGAAGTCCAGCGTGTTGATTAGCAACATGAAGTTCCATAATGATACGTGTGACGATAGGATGACCTGAAGGTAAAAGAATCGGCAATTTGAAATCTTCACTGTCGTCATTCAGAACTAGTCTGGTCTTCACTCTTAACAAACCCTTGTCATCGAAGAAAACTGGCAAGTTTTTCTGGAATTTTGATTTTTCTCCAAACGAGTTCTTTTGGATACATAAGATAACTTTCTCTTCAGCCATTTGAATCTCTTCACTACTTAAAGTTTCACTTTTTGATTCTTGATTGTGGCTTGAGTTCCTAATAAATCGTAAAATCCATGCTACCATTCTTAACAGTTTTAGGTAGCTTGAAAAGTATAGTAATGACATTGAGAAATCAATACTTTTTTCTGTAGTTACTGCTGATATAATCTTCTTTTTCCATTCAGTATATGCTTCTGAATCTGGTAGCATAAGACTCGACACTGGCCACTGAGACTCATCATTTTGAAGCCAATACGGTCCTTTCCACCATTGAGATTCATAAAGTGTCTTAGCTCCGCAACCTCTTGAAGGCAAATCAGCAGGGTTAAGATCTCCTGAAATGTGGTGCCAATCATCTTTAGAAGTAGTGTTACAAATTTCCTTGCACCTGTTCCCAACGAAAGTTCCCCAATCTTCCTTCTCTTTTATCCATGTCAGTACGATTGATGAGTCTGTCCAAAAATATGTTTTACATGACATCTTCAAAGCCTTTTGAACATGTGTGTAGATCCGAGCTCCCATAAGTGCGGCCAACAGCTCCAATCTTGGTATTGTTGCATTCTTCGGGGCAATCCTAGATTTTGCATAAATAAGCTGCACAGCTACCTTGTTTTGAGACTTGGTTCTGATAAAAAGACAAGCTGCATAAGCCAGTTTACTGGCATCGCAAAATATATGAAAACTAGTCTCGTTTACGGACTGACTCCCTAACAGAAATAGTCTTCTTGGTATTCGACAGCTTTCCAACCAATGAATATTTTCAACCCACTTTGAAAATTGGCATGATATTTCATTTGGAAGTTCTTCATCCCATGTCAGTTTTTTCAGCCATGTCTCCTGCAAGAGTAACTTAGGTAATAAAGACACAGGACAAGTGAAACCTACCACATCAAAAATTCGCTGGGCTACTGAGAGTAGATCTCGTTTGGTTACCTTCTTGTTTGGTATAGAAATAGATCGTATGTCACAAAAAATCTCATCCTTTTCCCTGTCCCACAACATGCCCAGTAATGGTACAATATTTTCTGTTGAAAACTCATTTTCAAGGTTACTGACATCTGAATAGTTGCTAGCCCATTCTCTTAATTCAAACTGTCCTAGCTTCATTAGTTCCATGGACTCATTTACAAACTTTTTTAGTTCTACTGCAGAGTCAACACTAACAATACAATTATCAACATAAAAGGCATCTTTCAGTTTTGCAGCTGTCTCTTGTAGATGAAGTGGTGCGTCATCCAAATGGTGATTTAGTGTGGCTCCTAACAGAAAGGGACTGGAGGTAATTCCAAAGACAACTCTGCAATGTCTAAAAGTTGTCAATTTTCTAGTCTTGTAGTCTTCCCACCAAATGAACCTAAGGTAGTCTCGGTCTTGAGGAGCTAAACTGATCTGTAAAAAAGCCGTTTTTATGTCTGCTGTTACTCCAATCTGATGCTTCCTGAATTTCATTACAAGAGATGGAATCAACTCTACTAAATTTGGACCTGTAGCCAAACATTCATTCAAAGAATGCCCTCTTCTGTCCTTTGTAGACGCATCAAACACTGGACGTATTTTAGTAGTTAAGCTACTCTCTTTTATGACTGGGTGATGCGGCAGGTAATGGACCTTTGTTGACTCTGCTGATTCTGGAACATTTTCTATAATCCCTTCTTTTAACCATTCTTTGAAGACTTTATCATAGTCGTTGAATTTGTTAAGGGTATTTAATCTTCTAGTTGATGACATCAAACGTCTCTCTGCAATTTCATGATTGTCTAGAAGTTCAGGATGACCCTCCAACCACGGCAAACATACTTCGTACCTATTCTCAACATTCACTCTTACATTTTCTTTAAAATGTTGAAATACTTCTGCATCAATGGAGTCTCTCTGCTTCACCTCAATAGGGTCCTTGATTCCGATTGTCTCCAAGCTCCATAGATCTTTAATTTCAGATTTAGACTGGCAAAATAGAGTTAGCAGAGACATTTTACGACTTCCTCTGCATGGCTGCTTCCCCATCACGGTCCACCCAAGGTACGTTTCAATAGCGACTAGTTTGTCATCGATCTTCTGCATAGTTCCTGTGTACAAATCCACTAGTACATCTGCACCAAGTAAAATTTTTACATCTGGTACATTTTCACCCACATCAGTTAAAATAATGTTCTTTTCTTTTAAGATGTCAAAGTACTCTTCACTCTTAAGCCTAGGAACATGGTTGCAAATTGTTTCTTGATCTGTCACAGGAATAGAGATCTTGAAAGAGTTATTTACATTCTGAAGAGTCACTAGGTAGTTTTTATGAGATTTTTGTTTTACATTTACACCACCAAACAAGCTATGATTTATGACTTCACTACCTGTTTCTTGTAGACCTAATTTAGTGACACAGTCCTTCGTAATGTAGGATCTCTGGGAACCTGGATCCAAAAGTGCTCTTCCCAAATATTCTTTACCTTTATCATCCACAACCTTAACTAAAAGAGTCTGTAATAGAGTTTCTCCTTTACTATTTTCAAAATTGCTGAGAACCTCTGACTTAGGCTTAGGGCTACTTTGCTGTTGTAGATTAGAATCTGGTTTATCAGCATCAATTTTAGATCTACTTTCATACAAGTCCCTACACATGATTCCATAATGCCTTTTACAACAGAAGAGGCATTTTACAAATACCTTACATCTTTTTGCTGCGTGGCCTTGTCTTAAGCATACAAAGCAGCAGTTTTTCTTAGTTAGATGTTCCTTCCTTTCATTTAATGTCAATTGTTGAAATGAGGAACAATCTTGAGCATTATGACCTCCCTTAGAACAGTAAATGCAGTTACTCACCGACCCTTTATGACCCTCTGTACCAGTTGTTAATAGAGCAGCTGCCGTAGGTTGACCCTGACGAGGTTCGTGAACTGCTGACCTTCTCTTTTGGCTGCTACATTTGCTGTTGTTCTCTCCTGGAGTGGCAGATTTAAAACTCGAACGAGCAAGAGCCAGCCTTTCTTCACTCTCCACCTCAGCCTTTAGAAAATCAAGAAGTTCTTGTAAAAAATTACTTGATTTATCATCTGACAATGTAGAAGACGAGGGTGTGTGTGGTAACTTACTTGAACGATGCCGCTCCCAGGCTCGTAATGTTTCTTCGGGCAAAGCAGATTCTACCAGAGGATACAGCATTGAAGCGTACTTGTCTGAAGTGACTCCTAAAGTTTCAAGTGCCCTTAACTGTGTTTCTAGTTTGTCATACAGTCGGCACAGTTTAGTATTAGGACCTAGCGTTACTTGTTGGAGCACTAAACTGAGCAGTTCCCTCACATATACTTCTATTAAAAAGTCATCCCTACCAAATCTTGCTTTTAATTGTTCTATGGCCTTTACATAATTAGTTCCAGATGGGGGAAAACTTTCTACTAATTCCCTAGGGGATGAGCCTGGCTTTAAAGATTGGATGAGGTATTGGAACTTATCCTCAGGTTCTAGATCAGGATCCTCATGGACCTTCTTAAACTGCCCCCAAAACCCTATCCAATTTTTTACATCTCCATCAAACTGGTTTAATTGTAATTTAGGTAGACTTAACCCCTTCTTAGATACTAATTTAAGACTGTGAACGGTATCCCCGACTTCACTTCTTGACTGTTGGCTTAGGCCAACCTGAATAATGAAATGGTCATACTTAGCTCTCATTGAAGATAACATGTCTCTGTAAGATTCTGTAGTATCAAACTCATCTTCTAAGTCCTCTTCTTTTGTTGCAGGATCTTCAAACAAGGCTTCCTTGATGTCTTCATCTAGCTTAAAAAGCCTATCAGCTTTATCTTGCAGCTTGTTTAAATTACTTTTAATTGTTACTTCATCTTTAATATCTTCAGCCAGTAATTTGTCCATTTCATTTCTGCACTTTGTAAAAGTTCTTCTTAGTTGAGTCCTTTCAGTCTTTAATGACTTCAGCTTATCCATTGTAAGTAAAATATAAGCTTAGTCCTAATCTGAATTTTAACTATAAATGTCCTGTCACGGTCGCCACTATGTTAGAACTCGTGTGAAATAAAGAACTTTTACAAAATATTAACTAATAAAGAACTGATTTTATTCTGATACATACAAATATTTCATAACATTTTTCTTTTAACTAAATTGTTATGTTCTTGCACTTTCTTCAATTCTTAACACAACACTTCTCAATTGTTTAAAATAAATTAAAATAAACCATCTGTTCATAAAAACAAAGACTAATAAATTAATATATTTGATGTTGATTAATATTGAAATTTGTATTATATAAAAAACAATTTAATTTCCAACACGTACGATGCTGATCAAGAAGTTATTTATTTGGAACATTACCAACCAACGAATAAGCACTGAATTAATATAAAGGTATTATTATTACAAGGTTGACTTACTTATTCCCTCTTGTCTCCTACGGAAGCATAGGGAATCCAGAAGAGCTCTCCATCCGTCCCTGTCTCCAGCAAGTCTCTTGTTGTCTTCTTTCGCTTCTTTGATAATGGTCCTCTTCCAGGTTTCTCGGGATCGTCAACTTCTTCTGACACCTTGCGGGTTCCAATCTAGGGCCTCTTTCTCAATGTTTCCGTTTGGCTTCCTCAGAGTATGTCCCAGCCACCTCCACTTGCTCTCTCGAACGAATGTTGTTTTTGGCCTCTGAGTACATCAAAATGAAAAGGTAAATCGGTCCCGGGCCTAGGTCTTACCATTCCACCCACGGTAATAGCTACTTCCCTATTGGGAAATTCGCTAAAAATGGAATTGACTATAAAACTTAATGTCCTAATTTACCTACAAAATTTTATTTTTAATAATCGAACTCATCCATCCGTAAAAACGTACAATATTTAAAAAAAATAACCAAAAACAATAATAAGGGATGTTCTAAAATATCTGATTTAACTAAACTAAAACTAATACTGCCAATAAAAATGTAGATAAGAATTACATTTTATGATTATATTACCATGTCAATTACCTTTTGATCTTTACGTCAACAGTTTAAATATGAT